ATTGTTTTTATAGCAACTTTTGTCTTGGGAAGTAGAAGCCGAGAAGTTTTTCTATGCTTGATTTGTGGATTGAAAAATAATAAAAAGTAATACTTTTCAGTGTTTCTCTTTTACTTGTTCTTTTCTTCCTCTTATGGAACCACCTTTTTTTTTTTTGTGAGATTGGTACAATAACTCTTGTGTCTGTAGTAATATTGTCATATTAATATTGCAATTCAGTTACTCTGTTCTCCAGAGTAGCCGACTTGCTGCTTTTAAAAACTGATAAAGGCTAGTATTGAAGACTTGATCCTGGTTTTAAACTCAGGGCTGATATTTTGTTATTTCATTGCTTGCTGTACTGAACTCAGTGGGTTGTGGGTTTTCTTTTGATTGAGGGGGAGGGGTGTTGTTTGAGGGGTTTTTGTTTGGTTAGAGTACTTTGGGAGGTTTTTTTGGGGTGTTTTTTTTGTTTGTTTAGTTGGTTGTTTTTGTTTTGGGGTGGTTTTTTTGGGTTTTCATTAACCCGTTCCTCTTGTGTAATTTGTTCTCCTTGGTGTGTGTAGAGACAGGTGCTCTTATGACCAATTTCAGCTGTCCATATTCATGGCTTGTTTCACCTGTCAGAGGTTAAGCCAGTCCTTGTGTAGTATCAGGTCACCAGCAATACATTTACATGAAGTTTTCAGTCTTTAACAGTATAGCAGAATTCAGGAGGCAGTTTGAAAGCAAGCTGCTGTATGGATGTGCCCCTTGGAATCCTCTTCAACTAAACAATCAGATTGCTCTGACTTTTATTTGTACACCTAAAGTGTAAGAAACGCCATAGAGGCTATCAAAGTGACTAATTTTGTAAAAATAGTGGCAGAACAAATTTGTCATTGGAACTACTGCATAAATGCCTGATTGCCCTCTGTCCAGCTTATATTGCATGCTGAAGGAGTTAAGGAAGATACAAAATTTGGGTAAATATTAAGGAAATATTTCTGATCAAAATTATATCTGACCAGGGAAGAAGACCTTCTGCCTAGACAAGTAGCATTATAAATCACAGGTAGAGTACTAAGTGGCTTTTGCACATCTGCAGCCAGAGCTGTATATCAGTAGGGTGGGTCCTCTGAGTCCTAATTCATTATACCTGAGTATAATGAATTTTGTTATTAACTTCTACAAATATCCAGGATTTTCTTGACAACATTAGTGATTTCATTTGAATTGGCAGTTAGCACCAGGTTAAAAACTAAGAAAAGGAAAGAATTTGGCAGTTGAATGCCTTTTTAATGCCAGAAGGCTTGTTTCCCATTTCCTCATGTGTACTCCTTTTGGCTATGTTGAACTGGGTGGTGGGCTTTCTAGAGAACTCCCTTGAGAATGAGTCTGTGATATTACAGAGAGCTTTCTAAGCCCTGGTCCTGAAAAAATTTGTTTTCCTCAAACATAATCTTTAAATCTACTTTTTATTTTATTAGATTATCTCTTTAACCAAGGAATGTTGCAACACCTCTACATCTTTAGCTGCTAATTATTTTTAAAGCTATTGTAGATACCAGAAAGAAAAGCTCAGCTTCCTAGTAGGAAATATACAGCACCCAAAAAGTGCCCCAGAATCTTCTATAGGCAAAATAGCTCTTCAGGTACCTTTCACTTTAAATGATGCATCTAGAATATATGTTTAACCTTCCCACGTTGATTCCTGTGGCTAAATTTCTTTACTTTGTGAGTTTACCTGTAATAACTCTCTGCTAGTGGCTTATGTAACACTACACTTGCTGGCAGTACAAGTGTGTTATATCCTGTCCTGCTAAAGTATCATAAATCTGATAGTGCACTTTGCCATGTTGATTTCTTGTTAATTTAGTGTATGTTTTGGGGAAGGTGAGAGACAGATACACTGCTCTCTATGCAGTAGTGGTGGTGTGATCAAAAGAAAACTTCTCTTAAACTAGGCCAGTAAAAGTGGCGTACCTGTGGGAAGCTTGTACTGAGTAACAGGTGAGGTAGTGAGGGTTCCCCATCATAAATAAACTGTGTTTACTGTGTTTGAAACACTGGCTTTGCCTAAGGTCAGCTATGCCAGGTACAGATCAGTAGGAACCAGTTACATGTGTGAATCTTGGGAGTCAGTGTGAGTACCAGTGCTCAGTAAGGGTGGGAAAAATGAGCTTATAGATGCTGTTTCTACCTAGAGTGGAGCTCAAATGAGATGCCCGAGCTAATACAGCAGGCTCTTGTTGAAAGAGGCAGTTTCATTCCATCCACTTAGCCTCTGGCAGTGTTCTCCTGCTGCTTAACTTGTGCCAGTTCTCAACTTGCTAATCAAATTATTAGGTGGTATCAATCACCTAACCTGTTAAAAACTTGCCTGGTTAATCTCCTGTCTTGTTAGTGAGCAGGCACAACGATAGGAACAAGAAGCTGTTTCTCTGTTGGATCAGTTTGAGCTCTGAGGGGCTTTGCACAAAGCTTGGCTGAGTGTCAAATACGTACACTATTGCTCTACAGTAGTCCTGTTTCTTATCTTGAAAGGCTAGTTAAACTCTCCAAGCAGTTTAGTAACCTATGGTTGAATGAATGTAGATACATATCAAAGTTTGCATAAAAAGGGATTGTATAACTGTATTAAGGTTGGTAGCAGGGAAGGAAAAAATACTGCTAATGTTGTCAATAGTATAAGAACACAAATTTTTACAACTCTTGAGTATTAACCACTTAGTAGAGGAGATTGATTACTCTGTTTCCCTTTGCTGAAATAAGACTTTTAATGGTAACAGCCTTGTGGTGATACTTAAAGTAACCTTGTATATTTCTTTGACCTCCAACAGCACTAGGATAGGGAAGCTGCTAGGCTTAAGGTATTTTTAGTATGGTGCTATTTTAACTGCTAGTATGGTAATTAATGTTTTGTGTGGTAATTAATGTTTATCCTTTCTTGAGCAGAAATTGTTGCTTGGGAGAACATAGATTGTGAAACAGTAACTTTTCTTGTAAAATCTCGTTATAGTGGAACTTTGCCATACTAGTTTTTAGCAATGTTCTACTTAATCTAGTATTTTGTCATTTAGTATCATAAAGTGCAGGAGTGCCTTTCATACATTCTGTTGAGGTTTGTCTCAAAAATTACTTGAAAGAGTCACCATGTGTGTGAATTAAGAGTCTGAATTAACAGCAGTAGCTGATATTGTAGCACTAAGGAGTATATGGAATTTCAGTTGTCATATAACTGATATGGTTAATAGCTTGCTGTTGAAAGGGGCAGATTTTGATCCCATTCATGACTGTGCATCTTCCCATTCTTGTCCTGCTGGTCTTGACCGCAGTCTTTCCTGGTCTTGTTTAGCAAGCTGAACAGTCAAGACTGGCTTTGTTGTTCAGCTTTTTCTGCTGGGTTGTTGAACTTGATCAGCCTGGTGAGGGAATTAAGCCCCACAGGCCATGATCCCTACCACTGGCACAACTACCCTTGGCACATCAGAGGCCTCTGCTTGGGCCAAGTTCCTGAGGGAGGCTGCACCTCTCGAGATTGAGCTGCAGGGATGCCTGGTGGCACCTGCTAGCTGGAATCAAGCAATGTCCCTGCTCCTAAAGTTGTGTAGTTGTGCAAAACCTGTGTCACCAAGCAAAGAAATGGTGGAAGTGGGTCAGCAGGCTTGCACAGCATCATGAGTAACAAAAATTACAAGACTCTACAGATTCAAGAATCTGAAGCCTCCAGGTATATTGACAGGAGGGCAGAAATAGTCTCTTCATATCAGGTTGGGAAATCGATACTCCCGCAATGGTGAAGGCTGGTGGCCTCTGACACCAGGAGGGAGATGCCTGTTCCTTGAACAGATGTGCAGTTGCCAAATAGGTTCAGAGCACTGAAAGAAGACACATGGCTGGAAGCTCTTTCTAGGCCTTTTATAACCTAAATGATTCTATGGTTTTATATGACTAAGCATTAGAACAGCGCCTGGGGCAGCAGCAAGTGGTGAGACTGAGCAGATAGTGGGGAGACTGACTCCTGTAGGGAATAGAGGCTTCCACATGTTGTTTTGTGTTAGGGAGGTTTGCTGCTTCTAGATACCCCTGATAGGGATGTGAGGGAAGGATTGCCAAGGTGTGTTTCACCTTTAAAATACTTAACCTTAAAGCTCTTCTACTTGAACACTAATGGATGTAGTAAGGGGGTGCCTGAAGCTTATTCAGCAAGACTATGTGGCCTTTAGAATGAGGGCCAAGGCCACAGGAAGCCAGGTGGATCTTCTGTGTGATCCTCAACCCCCTTCTCACCATCAGGAGGAATAAACAGATACTGCCTGTCTACAGCTAGTTAGTTTCACAGCTCATGCTGATAGCAGAGCTTTGGCTCTTATGGCCTTGAGACCTCCTTTGCAGAGCAAGGACTACCAAGAGGGGATAGCATCCACCTGTTCAAATCAGGGCAAAAGTAGAGATTACAGTAAAAAAAAATGACTACACACAATCAAGTAAGGAATTAGTGAACTTGCAAAAAAAGCATATAGGCTGATTTGAGCAAGACACTTAGTAATCTACAGATCAGATCTGAAGGCAAATCATCCCAGCACTCCAACAAGAAAGTACAAACAGAACTTGATAGGGTAAGCTCTTTCTTTGCTTTTTCTGGGGATCTGCAGGACTGGATGCTTCTCTGAAGTGCCGTTATACAGATGCATGCGTTATTGGGAGTAAAAGGGAGGAGGTAGAGTTTGGATGCAACTGTAGGGCAATAATTGTATTGCGGTATAAACACACAGCTAGAGTGCTGCAATGGATGGATGTGGATGGCCTAGGAAGACAATCTGGGGTGGCAAGGAATGGGAGTTGCATTTTATGTGAAAGAACAGTTGAATTGCATGGAGTTTTACCTTTAGTCAGTTGAGCCTGTTGAGAACTTATGGGTTAAGTTTTGAGGGCAGATCAATAGGGGTGACATTGTAGTAGGTGTTTGCTATAGACCCCCTAAGAGGGAAGAAGCTGATGAGACCTTCAGACAACTGCAAAATGCTTAATATTTACAGGTGCTGATTCTTATGAGAGTTACCTTACAGTGTGGTAGAAGAAGCATCACAGCAGGACACAGGCAGTCCAGGAGGTTTCTGGAATGAATTGATGACCTCTTGCTAACACAGGTGACCACGGCGCTGATGTAAGAAGGCATTATGCTCGACTTCCACTTAAAGAGAAGGGAGAATTGGTTAGGACATTAAGACTGGAGGCAACCTTAGTTGCAGTGACCATGGGATGGTGACATTCAGGATTGTGTGAAGGAGCAAGGCACAAATCAGGATCACAGTGCTGGACTAGTTAACCCTATTTTGAGCAGAGGAGTTATGCTAGAGAATTCTGTCAATGACCTTAATCAGGCACAAGTAGCTGCACAGGTTAAAAGTGTATGTGCCTGCTCTCTGCCTGTCTTCATGCAGTTAACTTATGCTGTTTGTAGTATTCTTGTAGCTGCTTGGAAAGGTCTGCCTAGGGACTTCGTCCATTTAGTTTTAATCCATCAGAGGATGCAGCTAAATGTGCAAGTGTACAATACAGCTGAGATAATAAAAGAGCTTTCTTCCTCCAGAAGGGCAATGCCCCTTCCCCTGATCCTCAGCATATCCTGCTCACCTTGTACTGATTGTGGCAGATCCACTGCATAAGCTGACTCAGTACATAAAGCTGGCAGAAAGCTAACCTAGCAAAATGCTGTGTTCTCTGCTGGGCTAATGAGTTGAATTAGCTGTAATGGGGGCTAGGTTAATAGTCCCTCTGCTCTTTCCCATGCTGTTCTAGCCCTTTCATGAGCCCTCTCTGTAAGTGGGGTGCTGTCTTCAGGGCATAATTTGTGGTTACTTGAATACAGTAAGAGTGAAACAGTATTAACCAGGAGCCTGTCCAGAATGGTGGTCTGTAGTTTTTGGGTCTGTGCTCTATCATAAGAACAAGTGTGTATATAAAGAGTAAGTTGGCTGATTTTTTTCCTTTTTTTTTTTTCCTTTAGATGAGAAGCATCTCATCTGAAGAGGAGGAGGGAATGTCCTCAATACAACATCTTTAATCTAACTTGATATTTGTTTGGAGGATAAAGCTTTAACATTCTTAGCCGTAAAAGGAATTTCTCACTATTTTTCTCACCTTCTCCACCCAGCATTACTAAGGAGAAAAGCTTTCCATAGTTGCTGTTTGATTTGGATAATAATTTGGGATCTTAGGCAAATTAAACCAAATGCGTTTAGTAGAACTTTGATAAAAGCTTGGTGCAGTAATGTCTATTATTGTAGCTCTATACAGTAGGTAGAGCTTCTAATTTTGGATGTTAGACCTCTATTCTTCAGTTTTACAATAGCCTACTTAGAATAATTAACAGAGTGGTGGAATGTGACAGTGAAGAAAGTGGATAATTCTGGCAGTGCTCCTTTTAATTTTGTCCTAGTATCCCTGTATTGTTGTCTTGTCTAGTTTGGGGAGAGGAGGGATGTGGCTAGGAATGGAGTCTTCTGCATCCAGGCTTTAGAGACCAGTCTTGGAGGGGTTTGGTCTTTTGCCACCACAATATGGCTGCAGGCATAAATTGTGTGTACAGAAAATCATTGTACTATCGCACAGACCAGGTAAGATTTACTTCAGAATCAGATAAAATAGTATTAATGTAGCAATAATGTTCCCTTAGAATACAAGTAAATCTGCATCTATAAAAGGAAAAATAAATGTCTCACTATACAGGTAGTGTTTTTTCCTTGAATAGTCAGTGTCTAGGAAACCTTGCTAGTCAGGGTAGACAAGTCTAACAATGCAAATGCTGTCTGTACCAAGGAACTGAAGTGGCTTAATCCTTTGTGCATGTTATAATCCATTTAGAGTGTATGGTAGTAGTCAAGTTCCTCATGATGAAATAATGCTTGTTGCTGAACATCCAGCATTCTTTAAGTGTATTTTCTAGGAAACACATTCAGAAAAACAGAATTAGCTGCCCAGTATAAAAAGAAAAAGCAGGTGTTGTCTGTATCTAAGTAATTTAGAGGAGAATAAACAACTATAGATAAGTTATAGATAAGGTACAGTTCCTTAATGTGGTATTCTCTGACTGGTTTTTGTTACGAATATGGTGAAATGCTTGTTAATCCTTAACTGTATGGTAAGCCATACAGTTTGGCAAATATTTGTAACAGTTATTCTCAAGGAGAGACAAAACAATCCTTCCCTTCTGGAGAAAGCTGTTAGTGTTTAAAACTGAGCACAGACAACAGAAATGGAGAAAACAAGCCAATGTCATTGCATGTCCAGGTAAGAATGCCTGTTCACATGTGGCAGAAGCAGAGGACAGAGCTCCTGGGGGGAAAAAGAGGACCATTTTGTTAATCTTGTCTAGTGGGGACCAGAAGATGGTGGTGACAGGAAGCAGTGGAAATCATTGAGAACTGAGACAAAAAGTGCAGACGTCTGATCCAGGGAGGAAGATTATCACCCTTGCTACAGAGCCCAACCCACAAAGCTATTGCTTACCTGGTGGTGACTTAATTAGAAGGGGAAAAATTCTCAGTCCAGTTTCTCCAGGGTCTGTCACTGCAAGTGAATTTACCCATACTTATTACTCTGTTCTGTATATGCTGGCTACACAGTCATAGAGAAGCCTTAGGGAGAGATTCGAATGTTGACATTTCTTTGGTCCTATGGGCAAGACGGAATTATCAACATGAGGACTAGTATTGCAGAATATCTCAGTTATGTCTCAGCACATCTTGAGTCGAGTAATATGGGTTCCATGGGTGTCTGTGTTGCACTTGCTTTGAAGTTTATTTAAAGCTTTTTCCAAATGCTTGTTTATGTGAGCTATATGTACAAAACTGTTTTTGTAAACCTGTATTGCAGTTATTCCAAGATATAATACATAGCTGAGCTTCTCAAAGTTCAGAGCAGAATTGTCTCAGTGTGGATAAGGGATGACTTTATTTCATATTGAACATGACTAGATGCTGAATAGATATTTGTACATGAAAACCAGCAAATTACCAAAGAAAGTAGACATCAATAATGTATAGGCATAAGGTTAACTTCTATTGAAATTCACTCTGTCATGTAGAAGGTATCTGGATTGAACAGAACAACTTGTTTTAACACTAAACTTGGTCATTTGATGTTGTCTTTAATTCCTATGAAACAGGATGACTGCCTGGCTCCAACAAAGTAGATTTTACCAAAGCAGACCAAATCCTATTTGTAGGTAGATTTCCTGGATAGAAGATAAATATCTGAATTCTTGGAAAGTTCTGTTGTGCTCAGAATGTTCTGTTCAGATTTTTGTTTAGAGTTATTTAGTAAGTATATGAAATGTCACTTTCCTGTTTTACGAATTAGCAAGTAAAGAATAGTTCTACAGGAGAAGGACCTAAAATTGACAGAAATAGCTATTCAACAAATACCCATACTTTCAACTAATAATGAATCATAATTGAAACTTTTTAATCTTAAAATTAACATGCCTTGCAAACTAGCTGATCTGTATAGGCTACCAACATGGTCAGGATCCCTTACTAATTAAATTGTGAAAACGAAATATAGTAACCTGTAAATCGGTGCTTTAAATATGCCTGTGAAGTGTTTAAAACTGAAACTGCCGCTACTTGATGTTTATTCAATAAAGAAACAAGCGATGCACTGATATATTTTCCACTTTTGTGTTGTCACACTGATCAGTTTTTTTAATTGGGTCTCAAATCAGCTATAGTTAAGACAAACTATTGTGCCTAATAGAGAACTCTATTATTTTTATAAATGCCTATAATATTTTTATTGTAGGTAAGCAAGTGAGAACCAAACTGTCCCAGGCCTTTAATCACTGGCTGAATGTTCCGGAAGATAAAATACAGGTACTGGCTAATTATTTTTAAAAGGTTGTTATCTTTCTTCCAAGACCACTGGTAACAGATGATTCTCTTACATAGCATAAATTATCAGAAATCTTAAATGCACTAATTTCTGAATATAAAGTGAACTTTCAGGAAAACAACTTCAGTGCAAAGTTTTTACTGTGATGCAACACTAAAGAAATTTTTTCCATGTCTTACTAGAATAGTTACTTCTTTCCAAGTGTGTTCAACATTTGAAGTTGTAGATAAGTAGCTATCATTGTTACCCACTTAACATAACTCAGTTATTAACACTGAGTTTTTAATAACTTACAAAACAAGCTAGACAGTTACCTTGTAGAATTCACAAGTATAGTGTTTGAAAATAAAATCTTGAGATTTTGATACAAGAATATCAAAGCCAGCAATTAAATCAACATTAAAAACCTAAAACTGAGAGGGATGTATCATATAGTCTGCAGTCCTTACTTTCTAATGAGAAGGATTATCTAGGAATTCTGATTGTCTTTTCTCTTGGACAAAGTGTGCAGGATGCATGGCTATGTATTTAAACACTGTGGCTTTTCAAATGGAAAGTTATCCTTCTTTTTAGGTTAGACTGCAGTTTTGTTAAACTGGTACAGAGTGTCCAAAATATTTTCTGTCCAAGGCAATGTAAGGAAGCAATATAATTGGTTGTGGTTTTTGACACCCTGGTCCTTTGTTACTTCTGCCAACAATTAATGAAATTATCTTTAGAGTTTGTGAAGGATCATTTTTAGGGTGGCTTACAAGTGACACTTCATAGCTCTCAAGCAGCAAAGTGATTTGAGTGGTTTAAGAGGCTGCATTTCATAATCTAGGAACTCTTCCATTTTTCAGCCTGTCTGTGTAACTGTCTAGCAGAATTTATTCTGTCTTTTAGCTAGACACATCTTACCCTTTGTTCTCAGACAAGCATCCAAATGAAACAAATAATATAGCAACCTGTATATTGTATGTATGGGTTTAATCTAATATCACAGATAAGAATTCAGATTGGAAGAAGCCTCTGGAAGTTATCTAGGACAACGCTATACTTAAAGCAGAGCTTGCTCTGTAGCTACTTGAGGCTTCTGGCAGCCCTGTTGAGTTTTGAAAATCTGGTGATGGGGTTTCTGCAGCTTCCCAAGGCCTGTCTTCTCATGCCGAACCCCTTTCATTATAACAAAACCTTCCATTTTATTCAACTAGCGGGTTTTTATATTGCAATCTGACTGTTGCTTCCTGCTCTTTTGCTGGGCACCCGTGACATTGTGGTCCATTTTTTAGTGCTAATAGTAAACCAAAGCTGCAGTGCCTCTGTGTGAACAGAAGTTACCAGTTCTGTCACTTTAAACTGATGATTGTGTAACTGCTATTGAGAACTTGGACCACTCGTTTTGATTATCTTTATGAAGAAAACCAATGCTTTAATGTCTCCTTTACTCCTAAGTTGGTTGTTATGGGAAGAAAAAACAAGAGCCTGTCATCTTTTAGTCGTCATCATGATGCAATTATTGCAGCTTTTATGCATTTTAGTACTAATTTTAATAACTAAGGATGGCTGAAGTCTGAAGGAGCACTTCTGGTCATCTTTTTGACATCTCTCTTTATCTTCATAAGATGTCCCCTGTGTCTAACAGCCTGATTAATTTCCAGCTATTTATATTTCCTTTATTAAAAATCTGAATTCTGGCATTCATTCTGGGACTTTTTTCTTACCTTAGATTATTTGACTTTGTGTATTTTATTTAAATTATACAAATGAGGCTATGTTCCTTGGTAGTTTATTTTACTGTTAACTACCACTGTTTCACCTTTTGCCCCAACCAAGTGATCTCTTCCCCCAACACTTACTGAATTTCTAGTTCCCTTTTGGTGCTGTACTGAAACACTTCAACTTGTTGAATTAGAGAACACTCAGTTTGTCAGGTGAACTTCTTTCTGAGAAGGCACTGAAATGGCCTAGCAAGAGTCAAGCAAATTTTAAAGCTACTGCAGATAAGGAGGTAGAAGAAACCTGTGTGTTGGACTGATAGTGCAGCAGATACTGATTAGATAGATGTAGGTTGTAAGAAAACGTAGCACCCTGTACTGGGTCTTCAGCTTTCATTATGGAGACCAGTCTTTTCATTTTCTAAGGCTACTTCCTGATGTCTTCTAAAATAAGCTTTTTCTCATATCTGAACTGTTTCACATCTTTCCTTCACCTTTGAAGCACTTTTGACACTATCTTCGGTTCACAAGGTAACTTGATGGAAACACAGAGTCAGGAAACACTGTTTCCTTTACACCTTAGGTATGGAAGCTGCAAGAGGTCATGAAATTGACAGTGATATGAAATAGGTTAGAAAGAGAAGTACGAGAATAAACTTATCCAATGAATTCACAGAACACAGGGAAACATTCCTGATAGTACTGAGAATGAGATAATGGACCAAAAAAAATAGGTGTGTAGAGTTGCCTTCAGTAAGTACACTATCCTTTGATTCATGAGTGTTTAAGTAGGTCGTTCTTGCAATTGTATCTTGGGAAAGGGATTAAATTCCTGGGGTTTGAGTTTTAATCTTTGGGGCAATGTTCACTGAACACCCGGTGGCTTGGTGCTCAAGAAAATGCTTACAGCAAAGTCCTTATTTTGTCCCACAGCACACACCAAATAGGACCATACTAGATATTTGCCTCTATGTTATGGTGGTCTTAGTATTTTTTAACATTTGTTTTGATGAATTTTGACTGACTATAATGTTTGTAGCTAAGGAGTGTAATTGGTTCATTAGCTTTAAAATCATATCTTAATCAGATGTGTTTTACAGTGAGTTTATATGGTGTGCACTTTTATGAGCTTAAATTTATTTCCATTTAAGCAGGTGCTGAATATACCTGTTGCTTGTGTGGCAGCTGTGGAATAAAAGCAGCATATAGTATTAATAATCCTGTTTTTTTCTGGAGTTGTTAAGGTTCTGTTCTACTCAAAGTAGTCAGCTACAAACCTAATGTTAGGAGCAGTTTATTGCACACCTCAGGTGGTGTGTGTGATACTAGTCTTTTAGTAACAAGCAGAGTGTAGGAAGCTTCTCAAAAGAAATTGTGTCTGTTGTCTTTCTGCCAAGAATTTTCCGAATTTTCAGAGGGAGTAGTCTGTCCTTTAAGAGGTCAGTACTGAATATAACCACACAAAGTGTGGGAAAAGAAAGATGAACTCTCTACTTATAAAAACCTGGTTCACAAGAGAAATGTGATAATGGGTGATACCTGACACTCTCAAGAACTGTCTTTGGGAGATTTCCGGTTTGTAAATCTAAACATTTCAAAACACTGTGTTTCTTTTATTTTCCCCTAGTCATGTTTCTAATATCAGTTATTCCATAACTCCTAGACAATGGCTTGTTTTAGAACTGTAGTAACAGTGAAGAGGAGCATGCAAGTAGAAGCACTTCAGGGAGTAAAATTAACTTTGAATCTGCAAACATTACACACAAGACTGTGTGATCCAGGACTTAGAGCAAACTGGATGGTGAAGAGAAGCATAAATCTGTACTAACAGTAAAGGCAAGTTGCCTAAAGAGGAACCTCAGTGATAGAGAATATAGTTCTTTAAAACATTATCCATTTTAAATATAGTTTTGCAAAATTCATGGTTAAATTATAGTGACAGACTTAACACTTTTCTCTTCTTGTAATAGGTTATCATTGAAGTGACAGAGATGTTGCACAATGCAAGTCTACTTGTGGATGATATTGAAGATAACTCAAAGCTACGACGGGGCTTTCCAGTGGCACACAGTATCTATGGAATTCCATCTGTAATCAACTGTGCTAATTATGTTTATTTTCTTGGCTTAGAGAAGGTTTTAACCCTTGATCATCCAGATGCTGTTAAAGTTTTTACCCGTCAACTTCTGGAACTCCATAAAGGTCAAGGCTTGGATATTTACTGGAGGGATACTTACACGTGTCCTACAGAGGCTGAGTATAAAGCAATGGTACTGCAAAAGACAGGCGGTCTCTTCGGATTAGCTGTAGGCCTCATGCAACTGTTCTCAAATTATAAAAAAGACTTAAAGCCACTTCTTAACACACTTGGTCTCTTCTTCCAAATAAGAGATGACTATGCCAACTTACACTCCAAAGAATATAGCGAGAACAAGAGTTTTTGTGAAGACTTAACTGAGGGCAAGTTCTCATTCCCAACCATTCATGCAATTTGGTCAAGACCTGAAAGTACTCAGGTGCAAAACATTTTACGTCAAAGGACAGAGAACATAGATATAAAAAAGTACTGTGTACATTACCTTGAAAATGTTGGTTCCTTTGAGTACACTCGGAATACATTGAAAGAGCTTGAATCTGAAGCCTATAAACAAATTGAATCACTTGGGGGTAACCCTGAGCTTGTAGCACTAGTTCAACAGCTGAGCAAAATGTTCAAAGAAACTGAAAATTAAAAAATTGACTTCTGGGTGTGGATTAAAACTCTTTTGAAAATGGCAGAATAACCAGATGGAGAGCTGTGATAATCAGTCTTATGTAAAACTTTCTCTTGTAGCCATGTTACAGAAATTACTGTTAAAAATATCTAGTCATTGAGTTTTGAAATATATACCTTATTATCTCTGAAGTCTTAACTGTAACTGCTTACAGTTGGTTTTGTTAAAGCATATGTACTAGAACTAAAACAAGTTTTGAATCTAAGTGTAATAGTCTTGACAGAATCACAGGCATTATTTCATACCTAAAACTCTCACGCCCCTAACCAGGCTATGATAGGATTTTGGTTGAAATTCTGTGTTAAATTAAATCAGGCTGACATGTGTATATTATGCATTTTAAACAATGCTCTTGTAAACCAAAATTTGTGTTTAAAAACAAGTTGGTACTTGCAACCACAATGCACATAAAATGGTGTGATATTTTTAAGTTTGACTTGTGAAGATCAAGTGGATCAGTTTACTATGTCCTAGAGTGAATATCCTACCAGCTTCTCTGGATATTTTCAGGGGAATGTGAATTATGAAAGATACCATTTCGTATGCAAATAAGACATGCTCAGTCTGAAATTGTGACTTGATAAAGATTTTGCAGTACCTTAGAGAAAAGATTTCATCACATCAATGAAGTGTAAATTTGCTGCTGATTCCAGCTCTGCAGTGAGTAAATTTGCTCACCTGGTTTCAGATTTTGAATTTGTCAAATATTCTGTAGCCAGAAACTTAAATCTATGCATTAGAGCTCATATATGTAAGTGCAAATAGCAACATAATGAGCTGCTATTAGAAATGGAAAGGAATTCATACCAGGTAACTTTAGGACACCATAACTGGTGCAGATCTCTTTAATCTCTGCTTATAATTGAGGGGCTTCTCCAAGACTTTATTCATAATTCATATTCATTCCTGTCCTGAATTGCTGTCTGGAGGCATGTTCTGTATCTCTCCAAAGAGACAAGAGCTGTAATTTTTTTCTTAAAACAAAGTACAGTATCTTGTTTTACAAGCTACAATACCACTTCAGTTTTGTTAATTGCTTAAATAGAGCTTTAAAATTATAGACATACCAAAATAGAACTGGGACTGAGAGCAAGATTTAGGGGTGGGGCTGATAAGTAGCAAAGTTCTCTGCTCAGATATATATAAGTATAAATATATATATATAAATGTTAATAAAATGTAAGCAGAGATGTTTGGTTTTTTCTTGTCTAGGCTGGCTTTAATCAGGTTCCGTTCCCTTAGTATTCACAGGTATATTAAGCTTTGCCTTGGGGTAGCAAGGTAATGGTTTGGATCAAAGGTAGGACTGGAGCTATAAGCTGTGCTGTTAGCTCAAGCATACTCTGAAATGGACAGAGAAGCTTGGCTTCTGATGGCTAAAGGATAGTTTTATGCAGGTGTTAATTTACTGCACCTGGAAAACAGGGAGAGCTATGATCTCAGCCCACTGAGAAAACTAACTGGAGAAGGTTGCTGTAATGTTTTCCCTGGGCAGCCTTAATATCTTTCTGAAAGTGATCAAACATGACAAAATTGAGGATGACTGCTTTCAGTCTGAAATATTATGTAGTTATGGATGATAGCCTGTCCCTTTTACCTGCATGCTGAGGAGAAATCTTTGTCTGATTGGACACTGAATAATAGGCTTTTCACTGAATGGACCTGGTTGCCAGGACTGAATAGCTTAAATTTGGGGAAAGGTATCTTTAATGTTAATAAAAGAGAATTGTAATTCATTTTTCGTAATTTGCAGTGCTTAGTAAGCCTGTAAATTTTTAATGTGTTATGTGAAAATAGTCTGCAGCAAATTACATTTATTTTGTGCCATGTCTTGGAAGTGTCTAAGCACTGTTGCAGTTAATGTTGAATAGGAAAAAGCACTGAAAAGATTGTTGTCAGGAGAATCTCCTAGTCTTACTGTGAAATGTATCCTTGTGCCTGTTAGGATATTGTAACTGCAACACAATGCAAAGTGCACTTAGTGCAGTTTCGTTTCTGTTCTGTTGCTGGATGTAAACAGTTCTGTATAACCAAAGTGAAGTAGCTTTTCTTACTGTTTGTATAAAGCTTTTCTACCATCTGAGATTTCTGCTATGTCGTTGCTCCTTTTTTTCATTCTGGCAATTCACCCCAGTATTTATTCTAATTCTATATCTTATAGCATGTGCCTTCATTAGGAGTAGGTACATGGATGTTTTCCAGTTGCAGACCATTTAAACCACAAATAGGTAAGAAGGGAACAGTTGGTCCAGCTTTCTTTTCCCAGGTTACAAGAAGCCATGCAGCTCTGTCTTACTTTTCTGCCTTCAAGGTGTTTGATGTCGGTATTCAAAGCATATGCTGAAGGCATATCTGGAAAGGCCCACAAGTAGAGCATTGTTGCTCTTCACTTAGGTTAGGATAAAAGGATTGTGAGAGCTTTTCTTGATGTATTCAGGAGTCGGAAGAGGCTGGGATATTTCCCCTTCATCTGTTAACCTGGTAGAGCATCTTTAAGTACTAAATGCCAGTAGCAATGATGTCCCTTAGTCAAGGTAGATTTTATATTTGGTGCCATAAGATCAGTCTGTGCATTTTCATCAATATCCTCCAATGTTAACAATGGTTAAGTGATGCTCCTGAGGTTAAGCAGTGTTAAGAAAAACCCTTCTTTAAAGCAGCATGGGAGTTCTTGTGACTGCACAATTAGTTGTGTGAGTGCCCCTCTGTTGCTATGCCTCCCACAACACAGGGAGTAGGGATTTTTCCTGATCTTCATAAAATATGCACTGTTGTAGTATGGCAATCCAATTTGCAAGTGGAGGTGCCCACGGGGAAACAAAGGGGATGCTGATTTCAATGTCAGTCCCTTTGAGCCAGAATCATTCCCCTTATCTTCCTGCCATTGCCAGCAAGTTGTACTTTGATCAGGTTATCGGTGCATTTCCTGGGGATTTAGTTCTTGCAGTTCATATTAAGAGAAATGCAAATACTTATCAGTCTGGAGCATTCCCCACTACCTCAGCAGTCCTCACTACCAAAAGTAGTCTGTTTTCTGATTTTGTGCTTGCTTGGATGTAAATGAGTGCTGTCACCTGTCTTAGAGTAGCCAGCCATTGGATGGGATATCTGTCTTTGCTTTTTCATAGGCTTATGTTTATCCTGTCAATTATGATGAAAATTGCACTATTTCGAGACTTTCCGGAGGAGACAGCTTTCTCCTCTCCTTTTGAACTTGGGCTGTTTAGGTACCCACTCAGAGCAACTTTGTGTGTATCAGCCAGTTGTTGATACAAGCAACATAGAAATGTTAGTGTGAAAGAAACTGTTGGGTGTTCTTTATGTTTTTGATTTTTTTTGTGAATTGTTTCTGCTTTTTTGTTAGTTTTGTTCATCTGGCTACGTGTGCTATGGAAATTTCCTATATTAATGGCCGTTTTCCTCAGTTACTGTTAAAATGCTAGCAAGGTATAAAAACATGCAGTTTGTGAGGGGGTTTGCATTTCTCATGTAAAACTGGTTTGAACTTTAATATGCCTTTATCACTGAATTGGGCCAGGCTTTTATTCATGTGCCATATGGGCATCTGTTGCTCTTCTTTGTCCCATCTTCATCATTTTACATTTCAGATTTGGTATTTACTATGCTCTTTCTATTATTTGCTCAGTACTTTCACTGTAATTCTTTCACCTATGTTTCTATTCTGCTCTTAATATCAAGCACACAGTACCATCAAACTCGGTTTTGATCCTGGACAAACTTAATAGTCTGGGTCTACTTTTGAAATGTTGAATCTTGGCTCATCATTTGCCTTCACAAAGTAATCCAAGATTAATCCAAGATTTTCTGCAACCTCAAAATGCCTGAAACTTTTTTTCCCAGGAAGCTAAAGTCTGTAACGTCTTATATGACCATAAATTATTTTTGTCTCATGTAGGTTGAGCTACTTTCCCTGCCCTACTTGTTTGCTTTCAAGATCTATTTTGCTTTGGTGTTAATGCCTGTTAGGTCTTTTTATGAATGAACTTAACTCACTAACCCTGAGGGAGAGAAGTTAATTTTTGTCCAGGTTAATGAATTATCCCACTCAGCAAGAGCCTGATGAAAGCCAGAGCTGGCAGGTGGACAAAGGCCAAGGAAAGGATTTCAGAATAAGAAAACTCATTTTTGCCTCCTGAGGCTGCCTCATGTAATTTTGCCTTCTTTTACAGAATTTACTCAACTTAGTTATGAAAATCTAAAGTATGTGGTTAGTTTCTCTGAGCTTCCCAAATAGACTGTGAGAGATACTTAAGTTAAAAATTATTTATTCTGATAATTATTTATGTAACTTGCATATATCATCTAAAGATTTTATTAAAGGTACAGATAAAAGAGTACATTGTTTCATTACTTTATTTTTCTCTTAACAATTTTTCTGTTCTTGAAGTCAGGGAAACCTAATCTGCCATGTGCCTATTTGAGTTGATTGCTACCTCACATTAACATCCTTCCTGAAAAAAGTTTTATCATAGCTGAGCATCAGTGTTCAACCTTTTCTGCAGTACTTATTTTAAAATTACTTCAGAGGCACCTTGTTGAGGTGTGGCTAGGAATAATCCATGATTCATCAACTCACTTGAAGCATATAATCTGCAAAACTTCTAATAAAGATGCAGGTTAAACTACATTAACCCTGATAGTGTTCCTCACCTGTATTCCCTATGGAACAAGTACGTTCTTAGTTAACCTACTGAAAAGGTATTTACTGATTATCTCTGTTTAGTACAGCATAGAGAACCATGGGAGATACACCAAGAAGGCCTAATGTGACACTTCTAGGGAAAGCACTACAAAACCTGACATGAATTTGTGGAGAAGACTAACTCTGAGGTGAAGGGAAATCATAGATAATTATGTGCTTTTGAGCTCCAGGAAAATGCTCGACTCATTGGTATACCAATTACATGCTGACAGTTTAGTAGCTGCATCATCTCTTGCGCACAGTAGGTCATTTTCACTCCCTTCATAATGCTTCAGTTGCTATTTCTAGAGCATGTAGTGTGAGCTGCTTAATCACTCGGTAATTACTGAAGTCTGTATAATGGCAAATGCATACATTTTGTTTATGTATTTTGAAATACATAAAAACTCTCCTATTCTCTTGTGATCTCTGCTCTTCCACAGAGAACTTCTGTTGGCTGAGGGAGCATAATCTTTCAGTGGCTGGAGTTATTAAAACCAGGCTGACACCAAGCCTGTGTGAACAGATTGGAGGGGGAAAAGGTTTGCAAGGAAAAAAACCTTGAAGTTCTTTAAAAGTAGAATTTCCTTTAATTGCAGAGTTACTATATGAAGCATGGAACTAACTCAAACGGTTTTCCTGTGGTTTTGACTGAAGAACCTGTAGCCAACTGCTTTATTTTTGGGGTGGGATGGAATGTACAGGTCAAAGTAAAAGCCATACAGAGGAATTGTCATTGCTATTCACAGAAGTGTAAAAACTCTGCTATAAACCTAATCTCTTACCTTTTACACCAACCAGCATGAATGTTCAATAAATGCAGAAGCTAAATCCATTTTTACTTAAGTGTTTATAAAATGCCAAAGTTGTAATTTGCGGCAATGATGTGAAAATGTTAAATTGGTCTAGTTGTTTAATTGGCATTAGGACTGTCCTGTTCCTTGTCAAGCGGATCATGAGCTGAGGCTATTTGTGGACTACAACACTGAAACAAGAAGTACAAAGAAACAGAAAGAACAAGCAATAAGTTAATGCTATTCTCATTATCATTTTAGAAATAAATTTGACAATTTGCATGTAGTTTTTGTGAGAATGGCTGCGTTACCTGTCAAACTAGGGGTAAAACAAGGGCAGCTGGGGCCAGAAAGATCACAAGAAGTATTTTCTTGTTTTCAGTGCCTTTCCTGTCAGGCAGTACACCTTGGGAACAGTGGGGGAGTCAAAAAGGAGAGCAAGAGGCCTTACTGCTCTCACTTGTACCACTTCCATGTAGCTGAAGCTACATGGCTTGAAACTGGAATAGATCGTTCCAAGAGTGCCCTCTGTGGGAGATGAGTGGGCTTAGGAACCCAGATGGGACAGCAGCACCGCCAAAGATGTGGAAGAAGGACTAGGGTATCTAATTTTTCCCCCAATTCTTTTAGTTGTCCTGAAATAACGCATTACCTATGGCAAGGGAGGATGATGAAGCCAAGGCACAGAGTTCTTTGCTGGGTTGTCCCCTTGGGGAGCAGCTGCTTTGTGCAAGCCAGTAAAGCGCACCCTTAAAGCCTGCTACTTGAAGATGCTAAAGATCAGCATGCTAAAGAATATACACACGTTATCCAGATCGTTTTGATTGGAATGTACTAGTGTTACCAAATACCCATACTCGATTTGTGTAGTCAGTGTCACAGCCTCACAGCAAAGAGTACTAATGTGCTGCCTGCCAGAAGAACAGACAGATTTAATGTAATGGAGCTCTGGGACTGAAAGAGCTGCTTGATTATTTACTGTCATGATTGTTCCAGTCTTCGTGATGCCAGCATTCAAATGATATTGTTTGCATTAAGCTGTTATGAGACATTGAACTATGAAACACAAGAGATTAAAAAGGTGAAAAACATCAGTTACAATACTTTGATTTTTATAAACACAGCTCTTAGATCTTGCCATATCTATCTCTGTCAAACTGAAGAGCTCTTACTCAATTTCTGTTCCTCACCAACTGGTACTAGAACACAGTCAGGTCTTTCATTTTTTGCTGTTAATCTTACGCACAGTGGACACTTCGATTTTCCTGGATCTCCCAGGGAATATTTTCCCCAAATACTGAATGTTGAAATAAATGCAGCAACAAATGTAGCAGCGTACAGAGGATACCACCGTTTGGGAGTCCCCCTGGCCCGGGGGTGCTCCGGGGGAGCTCTACTGCTCAGCGGGTCGCCCGAGTTCTCCTCAGCCGCTGCTCCCGGGAGCGCGCCCCAGCCTTGAGCTACGGACTCGGAACCACCTCCTGCTCAGTGTCGGTGCACCGGTGCCGCAGGGCTTTGCCAACCGCAGCAGCGCTTCCCCGGGGCATCTTTCCTTTCCCCTCACAGCCCGCCGCACGTTTGCGGCTATTCCCAGGGAGGCACAATTCCCGGGACGGGCGGGACACCGCGGCACCGCCCCGCGGGCCCGGCTCGCCCAGTCAGAGCGCCCGCCTTTCACCCCGCGGCATTCTGGGAGCTGTAGTCCGAGGCTGGCAAGCCTGCGTGGCGGAGCTACCTCGGTGAACACCGTTACCCAGAAAGCTCCGCGGCGGCGAAGCCCCGGCCGATTTGCCCCGAAGGCGGTGACTCGAGCAGGGTAGAGGGCGGGGCGGACCAATAGCGGGCCAGGGCAGGGCTGCCGTGGGGCTCGTGGCCAATCGGAGCGCTCCGAGAGCCGCGCGGGGCGGGGCGGCGGGTGCCGCGCGGCGCAGGGCGGAAGTGCGGCAGCGGAGCGGCCCCGCCGGTGCGTGAGCGGCGGCCGCGGCCCCGCGCGTGTGGGGCCGGGGCTGGGAGCGGCCCACAAGAGCCTGCTCCGGGAGCGGGAGCGGGAGCGGCACGGGGCAGCGCCGCGAGGGAGCCGCCTGCAGCCCGGCGGCAAAAGAGCAGCTCAAGGAAGGGCGTTGTGAGAACAGCGTCTTGCGCGTGTGTTAAGGGCGTTTCTCCTGTGCCTGCAGGTCTGGGAGCAGCCCGGTTCCCGCGGTCCCGGGATGGCTGCCGGGCTGCCTCCCGACGCGCTGGGTCGGCGGGTCGCCTGTGGCACCGACTATGGGACTGTGCGCTATGTGGGCAGCGTGTCTCGTACTGCAGGTAAGCGCCACAAAAGTAATAATCTTCACATTTTATGGTTGTTCTCGAGGTTCTGCTCATGTTCTTCTTAATTAAGAAAACCCAACACTGTCGAGTAGAACGAGGCAATTTACAATTTGATGTTTCCTCATTGTTCTTGTGTAAATATGGTGATTTCTAATCTGTGCAAGTTGTTGGGGATTTGGGTTTTTTTACAGAAGTCAGAATTGTCAAAAGGAGTGTAAGAAGAACTTTGCAGTCTTTTCCCTGATCTCTGTGCTGGCATAGTCAGGGAAGGTAAGAGGCAGCAGCAGCAGATCACCAGACCACCTGTTCCTTTGATAACACATTGCTTTGGGTTTGTGTGACAAGGCTTTCTCTGAGAGTGGCAGGGGCTGCAGGGGTGGCATCTGTGAGAAACCAGAAGCTTTCTCCGTGTCCAACAGAGCCGCTGCTAGCCAGCTCCAGGGTGGACCTGCCACTGGCCAAGGCTGAGCCCGTCAGCGATGGTAGTTGTACCTTGGTGAAACCATCTTTAAGAAGGGGAAGGAAAAGAGCCTCTTTGTACAAAGGTAGCTGTGGCCAGAGAAGAACTGAGTGAGAATATGTGAGAGGAACAGCCCTGCAGACACAAAGGTCAGTGAAGAAGAAGGGGAAGGAGGTGCTTGACACTCCAAAGAGGAGATTCGCCTGCAGACCTACTGAGACAGGCTGTTTCCTGGCAGTCCAGGGGGCTCAGCAGGGATTCAGAGATCCACCTGCTGCCCATGGAGGGGACACACACAGGTGGATGCCTGAAAGGAAGTGGTGACCACACCAGAGCAGGCTCCTGGTAGACCTGGGAGATAAGCCCTGCTGGAGTGGGTTTCCTGGTAGGTCATATGACCCTGTGGGGGACTCACGCTGGAGTAGCCTTTTCCTGAAGGACTACACCCCATGAACAAAGGGTTCCACACTGGAGCAGTTCCAAAGGAAGTATACTGTAGCCTGTAGGGAAGAGTTATGTTGGACCAGTCCATGGAGGACTGTCTTCTATGGGAGGAACCTGCACTGGAGCAGGGGAAGGACTCCCCTCTTTGAGGGGGAAGCGGCAGAAATAAGGTGTGAACTGACTCCATCTCCATCTCTCTACCTCTCATGGGGAGGAGGTAGAGCCCAGGAAGGAGGGAGAGCTGAGATGGGGGTATTTTTAAGATTTGTTTTACTTCTCATTATGCTACTCTGATTTTGACTGGTAATAAATTTAGTTACTTTCCCCAAGTCAAGTCTGTTTTGCCCATGACAGTAATCAGTGGGTGATCTCTCCCTGTCCTAATCTCAGCTGATGAGCCTTTTGTTGTATTTTTTCTCCCCTGTTCAGCTGAGGAGGGGAGTGACAGAGTGGCTTTGGGTGGGCACCCGGTATCTAGCCTGGGTCAACCCACTATAAATGTTCAAATTTGTGGGAAGATTCCTGATGCTTGGAAGAAGACTAGCCTTGCATACGTTCTAGAAGAGGCAAGAAGGATGACCAGGAACTGTAGACTCATTAGCCTCACTTCAGTTACTGGAAAGATCACATAGCATGTTTTCC